TCATGGCCCAACTAAGGTGAGGTATAAGCTTAATCATCACAAGCAGGGTTACTCTTGCCTGCCTCTCACCTCCATGTTTGTTACTGCTGTGTATATTGTCGGTGGGTAAAACAGTCAGACAGTAGACTTTGTTTTACTGTTGTCGTAAGTGTGAAATGCTAGGTCAGGGAAGAGTATGTGTACATAGTTTTCTAATCGTAGCACACATTCAAAGAAAAGATAGTTGTGAATGGGCTATAGTGTTGTGGGATAAGACTGTTTGGACCCTGAAAATTCATAGGGTTTTGATAGGAGCTGGGGAAGGAATCCATGTGACCAAAAGTCCAGTGTCAGGAATAAGCAGGATTTAGGTGGAAAATCTTAAAAACAGTACTGGGTATTGGTTAAGAACTTAATATGTCAGAGCCATGAACCTTGGGTGTGAATCCTGGCTTTGCCACATCCTAATTGTTTGACCATGGGCAAATTATTTAACTTCCCCTTTCCTGTTTATGCAGTTATAAAATAGGGATAATAACATTTGTTAGGATGTTGTGAGGATTAAATAGATTATACCTACAAAGCACTCAAAATAATGTCTACCACAAACGTTTCCAAGGAGCGGCTGGTGGATGTGAACCAGTAACCTTGCCATTAGCTCTCCAGTGCTTGTCCTACAGTGCCACACCTGAAGCCCCAAAATGTAGTGGAGATGAAATGAGAGCATTTAGAAAGCAGTTTCCTTCCATTTACTAACTGTAGCCAAGGGAAAGTTATTCTCTTTTCTGTGCCTCAGTTTCCTAATCTGCAAGATAATACCACAACCTTAGCATCAAATATATAACATATATGAAATGCACAGCACTTAAACAAACAGGAATCAACTGCCATCTAATCGATTCTGACTCACAGTGATCCTTTAGGACAGAGTAGAACTGGTCCCTCAGGGTTCCAAGGTTGTAAATCTCTGGGGAAGCAGACGGCCCCATCGTTTACCCTCAGAGCAGTTGGTGGATGTGAGCACCAACCTTGTGGTTAGCAGCCTAGAGTACCACCAGGGCTTTTAATGTTAGAAATATGAACAATCACTGTTAATTGTTTAAAAGACCTTAAAACCTGGTGGCTCAGAGGCCTCCAGCAGCTCAGCAATCCCTCAGATGAAACGTTCCTATGCCTTTTATATTTCTAAGTACAAATGCAGGCAGGAAACACTCCGAATCAGTTTTCACTTCCTTATACATGTGGTTATAAGGGGTAGACAAACAGGTAACTCATAAAAGGACAAACCAGCCAATCGGTTTCAGGAAAATTGGAGGGTGGTTTACATGCACCAATCTCTAATTCAGATGTGGAAAAGTTACCTTGCATTCCTCTGGTTTCACCACGAACTGAAACACAAATGGAAGTGTTGTTTAAGAATAGACTTATCTATACATTTAAAATTCTCTAGCACTTACATCCATAATACTTTATGATGAAAAGGATATACCAATCTCCATATTTAAAATTGTATAGACATGTGTTTGTACATATATGTATCTAAATATGCATATATATATTTAGAATGGAAAAACTTTTTTTTAAACTTTTCACTGCAGTTTAGATGAAAGTTTAAAAAGCAAATTAGCTTTCTATTCAACAATCTACACATATTCTTTCATGACATCAGTTGCAATCCCGTCAATATACGAGGAGGCTTCAAAAAGTTCATGGGAAATTTTCCATTATCTTTTCATTTCATTTTTCCAAGAACTTTTTGAAGTTTATTGAGCAATGCAAAGATGGTCACTTATTGAGCTCTGTCCGGGCCTGCGCTAGGTGCTTATTGGTGTTTGTTGTTAAGTGCTGTCAAGTTGGTTGCAACTCATAGTGGCCCTGTACAGGGTTTTCAAGGAGCAGTGGTGGGTTTGAACTGCCAACCTTGAGGTTAGCAGTCCAGTGCTCATGTGGCTCTGATGGAGTTCATTCTGGTAGTCTGGACTCTTTCTGTGACTTTGGCAACAGTTATATCCTTGCATAAAGTGAGGAAATCAGTTAAGACCATTGTAGGTGAAAGAACTTACAGAGACCTTCTTACAGTACAGTTTTACTGTACACTGCCCATTACAATAACAACTGTGTGCTCATCTCCTGCCTAAAGAGGAGCTAACTTCTTTACAGAGAAGGTACTCATCTGGCTTTGGGACACTGGAAGAGCAAAAGGGATGGGAAAGGTATAAGGTTCCTGTCAGCTGTCTTGCTTTCACGCATTTTCATCCCTCACCAAGTAGAACTAGAGAGGTTTGTTTTGCTTGGGTACCCCAACATTTGAATAAACATTTAGATTCTTATTTTTAAATTTTTTTAAATTCTTATTTTCAATTAAATTCTTATTTCCAACCACTGTTGTTGTTAAGTGTGGTCGAGTCAATTCCAACCCATAGCAACGGCTTCCGAAGCTGTAAATCTTTATGGGAGCAGAAAGCTTCATCTTTCTCCCATGGAACAGCTGGTAGTTTCAAACTGCTGACCTTAAGGTTTGCAACCCGATTTGTAACCACTACGCTCCTCGTCCAACCACTGTAGCCATGTTTTATATAATTATAAAATTGTTTTAGAATTACAAGAGTAAGATATCTATTGTCAGAATCCATCCACCTCATTTTTACAGGTGAAACTAAAGATGTAGACTGTGATTTGAGTAAGGCCACACAACTATATGGGGCACTGGAAGATGAACCACAAAATCAGCAGTTCAAATCCATCAGCCACACCTCAGAAAGCATATACAGGGGAGCTATGAGTCAGAACCGCACTTAACAACAATTTGAGCTCCCCGACAACACTGACCCTTTTTGTCCTTTCTTTTCGGTGACCTTTGTATCCTTGGAGACCAGTTGTTGTTATTAAGTGCTCAGTCACTTCTGACTCATGGCAACCCTGTATAGGGTTTCCAACAAGCATTTGGTAAGTTTGAACCACTGACCTTGGTGCTTAGAAGATAGTGTGTGAAGGAAATGATGAATACTTTGAATAATGAAAGGATGGGTCAGAATTATACCACTTTTAAAATACTTTTCCAACTGCTGTAATGATCTCAAATATTCAGACAGATTATTAAAGATCCTTTCAAATTTCCAGATTGTTCTAGCAAATGTTCAGACATCATCATTTATCATCCACTGTTTAAAATGTACATGTTTTAAGAAAAAATTCTTTAGTTTGTGTCCATTTAGGACTATGCATCTTCTTTAAAATAATATATATATATATTTCTGTTCTTTATACCTTTTGGAAATTTGGCAGATGAATAAGAAGAGCTGAATCACAGATCTTGCTGCCTATTCACCCAAGTAAGCCTTTTACAATAGTTGTTATCTGGTCCCAGCTGCTGTGCTAAATTTAGGAATTTGGATTCTGTGTAACTGCTCTGTCTCCCGTTACCAAGGTTGAGAAGTGATTGTTGAGCAACTAAAATTTCACTTCACAAAAGTAACTACACAATACATTATTCAATAAAGAACTGTTGACATTGGTCAGAAGCTTCATGCTATCTTCATGAAGCCAGAATAAAACAAAAATTGTATGGATTCTGTCTCACAGCAACCCTGTAGGCCTGAGTAGAACTGAGCCCTGGGACTTGTGAAGCTATAAATCTTTGGAAGAATGAAATGTTACCCTCCTGAAATGTTCTGCCCTTTTCTGGTTCATTCAATCTTAAAGTTAGGGTTAATAATTGCAGCTGTGCATATAGTATAATTTTACTGTAAATATCCAGAAAATATTACCATTTCTTATAATAGACATTTTAGTATTTGTGATAGATTTTAGGAGCCCACCAGCAGAACCCACCAGCTGCATTGTGGGAGAAAGATGTGGCAGTCTGTTTCCATAATGATTTACAGCTCAGAACTCTATGGTTGGTGTTTGGGGAAGCTATGTAATAGTGGTTACTAATCGGGCTGTTAATCTCATGGTCAGCAGTTCGACACTACCAGCTGTTCCTCGGAAGAAAGATGAGACTTTCTGCTCCGGTAAAGATTTACAGCCTCAGAAACCCTGTTACAGGGTCGCTATGAGACGGAACAGACTCCATGGCACATAACAACAACAACATGTAAAACAAAACACTGTGCCCAGTTTTGCTTCATCCTCACAATTGTTGCCATGTTTCAGACCATTGTTGCAGCCACTATATCAATCCATCTTATTTAGGGTCTTCCTCTTTCTCAGGCCCTCTACTAAGCATGAGCTTACATCATCATGGCAGCATGCAGTAGTAGTATAACAAGCTGAGAGATGAGTGATGAAAAACTAATATATACTTATTGTAAAACTTGGGACAACACAGTAAAGTACAAATTAAAAGATCCCCTTTCAATCTACACCAGTACTTTTCTGTTGTGATTCTTATATGCAAAATTATTTCTAAAATAATTTTTAACCAAACCAAAGAGCATGCAATTTTTTTTTTCACCTCTTGTTTCCGTTTGAGCTCACAGCCCCACATAAATTTGTCTATAAACTTAGTAGCTAATAGCATCAGCCCTTTTTAGGTTGCTTTTTAAAACTATAGCAGATCCTTGTCATCTGTTTGTGTTTTAGGGATGACACAATATCACAACATGAAATGTCATCATGTCACATTGTTACAGCACAACAACAAAATTACAGCTCCCTAACAATAACATGGTGTCAAAAGTGTCCTCCTGCCATGAGTCAGTGTTTTAGAAGCTATAAAAGTTATTTTTATACACAGCGAGTGCCTCGGAAGTTTGGGTTCCGAATCCCATCCGAATCACTAATCTGGGAAAATCTAGAGTGAGGGGTGCTTCCTGTTTTAAACTCCCCATTCCCTGATCCGCATGGCTGCCCACCCTCTTGATCCTGGACGGTTCCAACGTGGGTTGCAAGCCACACGGGGCTCCTTCACAACTCTGAGCCAGCATCCAGTGTAGAGGAGGAGGAAGAGACTATAATTATCCCCACGTCTGGGGCAGGCCCTGGGATGACATCGCCTCAGTTACCCTGCGCTCCAATAGAGTAGCTCCGATTCCTGGTCCCAGGTCCCAAACGCTCGCTGCAGCCAGCTTGCAGCGAGGGCAGGAGGAGACCACCACTGCAGCGCCTCCCGCCTCCGGGTCATCGACCCTTCCCAGCCCCCTCTCAGCCGCTGTCCTTCACGCCCTCGTGCTCTCCAGCCGGGACACCTGCCCAGAGAACCCGGCCCCCAGGCTAGCGCCCGGGGCGTGTGGCAACGTTGCCATAACAACGGGCCCCAGGCCGCAGAGGCCGCTGGGGAGGAAGTGACGAGCGGTGGGTTGGCTGTTGTTGGGACACGTGACCCGGGCAGTGTTTTGACAGGGCAAACAGCAGAGAAAGAACTGGGCGAGCGAGGGGGAACAGGAGCTGGGGCGCCAGATCTAGGGACAGCTGGGCGAGGAGCTGGCAGAGGCGCGGCACGGGCGGGCGAAATCCGGGGGCCGCGGGGCTCTGGTGGGAGCAGGGCAGGACGAGGGGCTGAGCGCAGGGACTGGAAGCAGGCGGCGGCTGAGGCGGGGGTGGATGGCCACAGGGGCGCCGGGGAGCCGCGTCGGGCTTGGCATCTCGTGCTCCCATGGTCCACTAACGCAGCCCTGGGGGCAGCTGTACGCAGCACACCGCTCTCGCCGGCCGTGCGCCTCCTGGAGCCCCAGGTCTGAGGTGGGAGTGTGATGTGAACCGCTGGGTGAGCAGCCGAGAGAAGTGCCAAGAGGAGGGATCGGGTGCGAGTTAGTCAGCAGAGGTCGGCCGAGGGAACCGAGGAACTGGCCAGCCCCAGAGCGCCATGAAAACAACTCTCCCGAGGGGAGAGGGGCCGGCGCAGCGCTCGGTGCAGCGAGGCTGAAGGAAATCCGGGGCTGCGGCGGGACGGAAGGGGGTCCGGCTGAGCAGAGCTGGGGGCAGGCGCCCAGCTGTAACCACCTTCTTCTGGCCGACCTCAGGCCGGGCCACGTAGGGCCAGGGTTAGTAGGGGGCTACCCGGAACAGCCCTGGAGAGCTCGTTTGGGGCGGGGGGCTGGGCGCGAGGATACGACTCGCGTTTCTTTCTGATCCTCTTATTGTGTAAACTTGGCTGCGGTTGGTGTAGGAAAGCTAGCCAGAGGGGTAATTAACCCAGGTGAAGCCCGGGCGGGGCAAGAGGAGCTCTAGGTTTGACCCAAAGGCTCTTGAGTCTCCTGCATCCAACTACGAAGTCGAAGAATTTTCTGTAACAGACGCTGCAGAGGTGCCACTGTTTCAGCAGTGTTTTGTTTTGTTGTTGTTGTTTTTAAACTAAGGGGTTAGTTAGCTTGTGTGTCTGTGTGTGTTTCCCTACTTGCCTGTACCTCCAGGTTATAAATAGATCTTGCTTTTGGTTCAGAGACGCTATGTCAAAGAAGGACACATTGGCCTGAAGAGCGCAGGGGCGGAGAGAGGGGTGCTGGGTCCAGAGGAGATGGGGGAGGCAGTGTGGAGAGAGTTTTGCTTTTTCAGATCTGCCGATTGTGCTGTCACCACAGTTGGTGCCAGGAAAGAGGCCTAACTGTTAGATTACTTGCAAGAATCGGGTGTTAGAGCAGGACCAAATTAATTTTGTTTTCATCTCTTTTAGCATTTTGAAAACAAAACTGAAGTCGCAGACTCAGTGGGGAGCCTGTTGAAAGAGTCCCACACGTGTATTTTTCAAAGCAGTCTGGGTGGAAATTGGATGTGAAAATGAAGCCAGATCGAGGTAAATTATTTAGTTTCTTTATTTTTCTGTACCTAATTTTAGAAGCGTTAACCTAATTCTGAGACAGGGTCAACGATTTCTGTATTGTGATTTTCTGCTTCAGTTACAGATTCCAGCTGGTGAGGTAGAGAAAAAGAAGGGCATTTATGAGAGAATCGAAATGGAAGGGCATGTTCTTCAAAAGTGCTTGTAAAGGAGCAGTTTCAAAAGAGACTAGATGTATCTCAAAATGAAGTGTTCTAGAGCAAAATTTTATCTGTTGCCCCTATACTTGATATCATTTTAGAACTGTGATTGCTCATTTTTAGGTAAAATCAATTGAACTTCAACTTTAAAGAAATTTACAAACGTTCAAAACTTGATAATTTGAATTGGGTAAATTCAAAGAACTTGACTTTATTATTCTTGCATGTATTGGTTGACTTTAGCACTTTAAGCAAACTCCAAAAGTTTTCACATGTATTCCAGAGCCTTATTCAGTATATCCATGTATGGACAGTTTGGTCTATGAAATTCCTAGTAGGTAAACATGTCACTTCGTTTTTAACTCTGTATTTTCAGGACATGCGAGAATAATGTATGCGTTGTGCTTTTCAAGAACTTTAGAGGAGTTAACTCATTTTTGAATCTTCTGACTAATGGCAAGGGCCAATTTTAGGAATATTTCTATATTGCAGTGGCTAGTAGTGTAGGCTTTTACAGTCAGACATGGAATTTCAAGGGAGGGGATTTTTGTATTGAGTAGGAGGTTGGATTAGAGTAGGCTACAAAGAGTACCTTCCAAATCTGAGATTGTTGTTGGAAATATTAATTTATCCTGATAAGAATTAGAATGCCAGTTTTTAAAAAAAATGTGTGACCTGGATATTTTATCCATATATATTTTTAAATTGGATTAGAAAGACAAATTTCTAGTTAATATAGTTCTGATAAAAGTGTATTAAATGTATTAGAAATGGAGAAAGCTCTTCTTAAAGTGTTTAAAATTAAGTGGCTGTTATTTTAAATCAGGGAACTGCTATGTAGATTTCAAGTATTAAGAAGATAGATTGCTACTGAGCAGGTTACTTGTGTAGAATGCCAAGTTTAGATTTTAGATTCCATCAGTGACTTTAGAAAAATGTCACCAAGGCCAGTAATTGCATGTCAGAGTAAACAAGCAAATAAAATCAGTCACTTGGAGGAAAAAAAGTTACTAAAATTTGCTTTAAAGTAGTTTAAAATGTATTATTTGCCATGTAATCACTATTAGTCAAAATTAGTAATAAATACAATCGCATGTTTACTTATTTTGACTGAGACTCAGTAAGCAGTATCTCTGACTCTGAAAACTAGTTCACAAATCCTGAAATATATTTCTCACAAAACATTTACCCTTACTTTGGGCAATGTTGTCTTGTGTTTTGTTTCACTTTTTTCAAATGCTCTTATAAACCATTGTATTGATTTCTTGACCACGTAATAGGTCATGATGACCTCCAGTTTGAAAGGCACTGTAGTTTCAGCAACACTTAACTAGACAGTAGTTATAATTAGCTTTTTTCTACATTGATTCCAAGTAAATGAACTTTCTGGATAATTAAGACTTCACTCTGTAAGTTCCCAAAGTAGTTTCAACAGTAGTCAGTATGTGGAGAGATTTTAAGAAATCTTAAAAACTTAAAACAAGAAAACAGAATATCAATGTCATGTGACCTTTCCTGGATGATACAGGAGCACTGTTGTGAATTTCACTGTTGTACTCTGCTATCATTTAGAAATGCCCTCATAAGATCATTTTGATAAGGTTTTCTGTTTCTACTTTAAATCACTTTAGTGTACTGTATTTTTCTGAGTTCTAATTTTTAAATCCCCTTGCTGACAAGACAATAGTCTTTGTTGTTAATATGCCTTTTTGTGTCTCTTTTTTACATTTTACTGCCTTTAGTTTCTATGCTGGGAAAGGAGATAACTATGTTCAACTTGAGTTCTCTGTAAAAATAAGAGTAAATTTGACAGCCCTTCAGGTACTCATTCAGAATGTGCATTTTGTGTGGAGTTTCATGTGGAGATGCTGAGTTGTTTGCTTTAGTGGGATACAGCTGTACTTCAGTGGGAAGGTTTCTAAAAAGCACATTAGGAGCCTCTCATCCTACATGATTGGGTGTGGTAATTGGTTGGCTACTGGAAGATGTGAGGAATCATAAAAAATAACAGTCTTAATTAATTTACCTATCTTTGATGTTGTGGAGCTGTAGTATAATACACTGGACTGCTGAGTGCAAAGGTGGTAGTTCAAACTTACCAGCTGCTCCTCGGAAACTGACTCCACAACACTTAACAACATCTTTGACGTAGGTTCAAGTTCTTATTTCGGGTTGTGTTTTTTTTTTACAGTTGCCTGTGATCTTTCTTGTATAAAAGTAGTTGCTATTGAAACTTGAACTCATGGCGACCCAATGGATGTTTAAGCCAAGCAGTAGTGAACATCTAAGATTTCTAGTTTTGGTTTCTTTAAAGTGTAACAAGACTTTGCATAACAATCTTGTACATATTAAATTATTTTTTTACTCTTTTATAACTGTGTCTTGGTGTGCTAGTGGTTGTGTGCCATAGATAGAGTAATACCAGAAAGAAAGCTTCAGCTTTCTCCCATGGAGTGCCTGGTGGACCCAAACTGCTGACCTTGCAGTTAGCAGTCCAATGCATAACCCTCTATGCTACCAGGGCTCCTTGTAGATGTGTCTTATGTACACATAGGTTGATAAACAGGCTTTTTTGGACGTGGGGATTTATGTTCAATTCCTTCCAAAGCAGTTAACTTAGTTTTTACATAAATTTTTTTTTGCACTCATATTTTATTGGTCTGCATCAGGGGTAAGCATGAACTTACTTGTACTTGCTTACCAATCTGTACTGAACACGTGAAACTATTCGCTACAAGCCGTGAAATTGTTCACTACAGATTGGTAAGTAACCACAAGTAAGCCTGTGTTTACGTTGCTTACTGGGTAATCCAGCACTGGTTTATGTGATACTTAGGTAGAGTTCACATAGACACATTTGGGACTGAGCTCACCATATTCTTGTGAAGCATGCAGCTCATCTAGTTGAAGTAGCGTGGTGTCCTATCTCCATGGTGCCTGTCTGTTTGTGTGAAGTAAAGGACGAGCATTGGTTAATCCTCCTAGTTGGTGAAGTTGAGGTCAGTTAGGAAAGCTTCTACTGTGCTTTCAGTACCCATTCCCGTAGACTGGTTCCATCCCATAATGAGTTTATAGGAGAATAGAACTACTACAAAAGCTTTCAAAGGCTGTAATCTTTGTGGACATAGGAGTCCTGGTGTAGCTCTGTGGGTCAATGCACCAGATTGCAAAGCCGTTTGTACTGCAAGCTTGGCGGTTCAAGCTCACCAGCTGCTCCTCGGAAACCCTATACAGGATCACTATATGTCGGAATCGATGGTACTTCACAACAACAATCACCTTTGTGGACGTAGACTGCTACATCTTTCCCCTGTAGAGCTGGACGTGGTGGTAGTATAATGACTAACAATAGCTAACACGTATACATACTATGTGGCAGACATGGTTCCAAGTACTAGACATACATAGCTCATTTCATTCTCTCAGCTGCTCAGGGAATTAGATACTGTTGTTGGCTCCACTTTACAGATAAATGAAACTTCATCAACCTTGGTCACCTGACACCCAAGGTGTCACAGCTAGTAAGAGGGCAAGCCTAGATTTGAAGTGAGCTCCCAAACCACTGATTCGTTGCAGTAAATTATATCAAAAAAAAAGCTTAAAATACCGAGACCAAATTGGTTTAAAAGTAGGCTTGTGAGATGAAGAAACTCAAAACAAATATTTACGTTTTATGAGCTTAGAAAGCTACTTACCTTTTCCATACTTCCGTTTCCTCATTTTTAGAGTTATTTTGAGAATAACTTCAATAAGTTAATGCATTTAATGTGCTTAGTAAACATTCAAATGTGAGTTGCTATTGTTGTTATTGGACATTTTCTAAATTAGTAGGGAAAGCTGGGTAGGACAAAAAAGGACCACGTCAGCTGTCTGTTTCATGTACTGATCAGCATCTCAAGTCAGAAGTTGACTGCTGTTGGTCTCTCGTGCATTTACATTGATAGGTCTTGACATATCAGCAGTTGTCAAATAATTACTGGCTTGGTACAACTTCTAAGCTTCAGCTACTAAAGGGATTGACAAAGAGGTTCCTTGTCTATGTTTTTGCCTGTCATCCAGTTAAGAAGGAAATGATTCAGTGGACTGAATATTGTCATTTCTTTGAAGGATGAGAAAATTGGAAGGTAGAGTTGAAAGGCTAATGTGTGTATGGGGAGAGAGACTTAAAAATTCATTTTGTCTTTAAAAAATGAATTACATGAGCCTAGAGAATTACAACTTTGTGTATGTAAGTATTGTTGAGTTGCCATCGAGTCGGTTCCTACAGTCGGTGATTCTGTAAAGGATTTCTGAAGAGCAGTTGGTTTGAACTGTCATCCTTGCAGTTAGCAGTGCATTGCTGCTTGTCTTACAGCGCCACATTATGATGTCTATGAATCGTAGTGATGGTGGTAGTGTGCTGTGGACACAGTTCTGACTCACAACAACCCTGCATAGGATTTCCAAGACTGTAAATCTTTCTGGGGGCAGAAAACCCTCATATTACTCCCGCGGAATAGCTGGTAGTTTCAAACTGCTGACCTTGAGGTTAGCAGGCCTACCCATAACCACTACGCTACCAGAGTTCCTTTTAACAAAGAACATTTGTATTTATTTATTCTGCACTTCTCACTTTTGCATCTGATTATGGTAATGGGTTTTTCCTCCTTTGAGGCTGATGATTTAATTGGGAATATTAAATTTAAAATAACTTAATTACCTTTCTTTTTTTGCTGGTAATGAAAAAGTAAAATTACCTGGAAACAATGCTTTTTCTCACTAGGTAAACCAAACTATTTGATAATAGTTAAATCTCCTTTTGTTTCAAGTGGGTGA